CAGCCGGCATAACAAGGAAAGGGGGCCGCATTAAAAAAGGTCAGATTTGCATAAATATAGAAACCAGCAGCATAAAAAGGATAAAACTCCAGCATAAAAGGAGACTCCATGCGCATAAGAACAAAACCTATCGATGATGAGATGGAGACATGGAGGTCAATGGAGACGGGAAGGAAACCCTCAGCATACAATTTAATACCAAGTCCCAATGAATAAATGCCAGGCCTGGAATTCAATAATTTCGTAAATTGAAATAGAATATTACTGAATTTAAGTTGTTGCCAGATCTGAGCCGGAAGTGCGCGTCAGGTTAGTTAATAATTTCACAAATTAAGAAATGATTTGCCTCTGTATTTTTACAAGTATTAAATTCCAGGCCTGGAATGCTTAATACTATGGCATCGAGCGAAAATATTTAAACTACTAAATGCAGCCAAATAGACCCTGTTCTAGCATCTTACAGGGAACCCCCCTCCCCAAATAGTGGCCCTGTATGAAGCTTTCAACCGGAACTTTCCAAACCCAAAAACTTCAAGTACGACCTCCAACAATTCCTAGCAACATCCTGATAACTCCCTGACAAGGCAAGTCTATGCCTATGCAGCTGCTGCAGGATGGTTACAAGGTCCCGGCTGTTCGAGACGCATGCAGTGGACGAAGCACAGGGAGCTGGCCCCTGCCGGTAGGGGTCTCGGGGCTGGGACTGGGGATCGGAGGTTTTGACTAGAACCTTCGACTGACTTTACATGCATTAAACTTTTCTGCTACGCTCGTTGCGGGCTTATGCCCAAGCTCCTCGAATCCCAGCCAAGGGACACTTTCTGTTCAAGGGGAAGAAATGCTCTGGAGCTTAAAGTTGCCCTGAAAATACATCTGGTAGAGGTGAGCTCAGGCTTGGGAGCGGAAGCTCCCTCGTCAAATTCCATGCCCTTCCTCCTCCCCTCGCGATAGTACCCAAAGTCTGAGGAGATCCCATCAGAGGTTTACGCTTCGTGTCACATATAGTTTCTAAAACCCAAAGACCTGAACCCAAGCAAGATGGCCTTCAAAGCACGGCTTTAGGACGAGGGCCTCTCAGGCAATCCATGTTGGGCGGGTAATCTGCCTGAGGGTGCCTCATGTTTTCTTTTCGTTTCAAGTTGTCACCTTAGCAAGGGTTCAGTATTCGACAAGTGAGGCTTCCGCTTGGTTTAAGAACCTCTAGGCCCTAGCCGCAATCTGCAAACCAACCTTGGGCTTTTTTTTATATTGAAAAAAGGAATCACCTTTGGACACGGAATCCTTAAATCGATTTCGGGTTTACTTACGTGGGGTTGGAGGTGGTGTGGGTGGAGACAGGGTTTGGTGGGCTGCCGGGCCGTCTCCCAGCGCACGGGCCATCGAATGTAGAAACACACCACTGCGATTAATACAAGAAGGAAGAATTCAAGACTCCGTAGTTTCTGGAAACCGTTAAACCACGACTGCTGTAAGTCTCACCGGTAGGGCCTAAACAGGGAGATATCAACAGGCAATCGGTAATTTCCTTTGCTTGGAGCTTCTATAGCGTGCTGGAGTCTACAACTCGCCAAAACAAGGCGCGACAAGCACAGCATGGTGGCATTCTCGCCGCCTGCCCAAAAGCCCTCCGACGAGGACAGCCTGTGAATCCGCACTTCATCGTTAGATCTGGACTGCTTGGCAAGTCCCGGGGCCCCAGCAAGTGGAGAGGTACGGTACACGGACGCAACTGTGCCCGTGAGCTTGCTTTGCAAGACCTGTCAGACGAGGTGTTTGGGTTAGTTTGGCAGCTTGCGGATTTTGGGCTGGCTTTAAGATGTCCTGCGCGCGGCTTGGAGTGCTAAAGTGGCCAGTTTCGAGGGGGATCCATCGGACAAAAGCAGTGGCAAAACTCTAGTCAACTTTTACTGGAAATCCTGCATTTCTCCAGTCGTGACTACTTCTCATCTTGGGATGGTGCAATTGGTTTCTTGGTACTTGATAGTAGATTTTTTGCTGGAAGCCAGCCATGAAGTTCGAAGCTTGAAGTAACTTCTGACGGCAAATGTTTCAAGTTTTGTATCGGTGTGGAATTCATGTCTATCAACCGGTTGATTTTGTGCGACTCCCAGTTGCGAGGCTTTAGATTCTGCAGATGGCCAGGATGAGAGTCTGAATTCGGGTTTCGGAGCCCCAGACAAAACTTTAAACCCTTGACCTCCAACCCACAAACCTCAACCTCTGGACCCAAAGCGTAGAGTAGAGCAGGCAAGACGTAAGCTGGCGGATTTCGGTCGGTCCGAGATGCGGGCTTAGATAGCGGTTTTGCTGCGGGCCTAAAGTCCGTCTGCCTTGTCCCATGGTTTTTGCGTGGAGCGTTTATCCATTAACTAGCATATTGCTTTGGGACTGCTACACCGTGGTGCAAGTGGCCTGCCTTTGCCTGTCGCTAGGTTAAACTGGGTTGTTCTGCCATTATCTTAACATGGCCGTTGCGGTCCTGTTGTCTGCGTGAGGTTACCACACGGGAACTGAGGGTGCCTGCTCTAGGGCAGCAGCAGCCTTTCCGGCACCACCGCCGCCAACTGACAACGAAAGGTGGGCGGTCTGGGCATGTAGGCTTGGGGGGATACAGACTCGGGCTTGCAGGGTAAAGGGACTTTGCGGGTCAAAGGTTTGAGCAATTCGTGCGCTGGAGGGCGCTGGGTTGTGGGGGAGGGCGCTGGGTTGGGGGGTTCGTTCTACAATCAATGCTCAGTGAGCAGGACGAAAAGAACATCGACACTCCAATGTCTGTTGTTGTTCGGCTCGGTCGAAAGCTTTGCCACACAGACTGCGTGAACGCACTTGAGCGACATCTCAGCCTCAGAGGGTGACCAGATCCCTACCTCAAGCTTAATAAGGCACACGCAAACCATAATCCTGCACACTGCCACGGGGATGCTCTCGAATTGCTTACGGTCCGACACACCTCGAAAGGCAACGCCTCAGGACCAGGTGCCTTGCAAGACTCAAACCTCAAGTCTGAGTGCCCACCTCTCGGCTCTCTCGGCTCTCGGGTCCACTCCGAGATTCCGGACCTGGGCCTGGTCGGTTGGATCCAGTCCCAGGAGCTGCCTCCAAGCACCACAAGAACCCAAAGAAACTGTGTCCGGTCTCGGGTCTTAACTTTGGGGTTTTGGTTTGAGCTCTGTGCATATGTGGGGTTCTGGGAACCGCATCCTGAGTAATTCAGGTTCGAAAGTAAGAAGTAATAAAGAGCTTGGGTCTTTCGGACTTGGGATTGGAAGGGCCGACGAAGTACTCTCGTACCAACGCCCTACTCAAAGGGCCTGCGTCCGCGGCCATGCCATCTCGATCAACCGCAAAAAGGACCTCGCTCTGCTCGGATTGCGAAACCCTGAAACTGACACAATCATGTAGGCACTGTAGGCCTGAATCCAAAAATCTCTTACTCTGGAGCCCACTGGCCTCCGAGCCACAAGAATTCAGAATAGTCAACGAGCCTTGTGTAAGGGTGTATAGGTATGGGAATGCAAGCTGACACTTTGCCGATCTGCTGTTCACTTGTAGGCTACTCTACAGCCCAAACAGGCCTCGTAGCACCCGGGGCTTGAACCCGCCCTTACTTGATGAAGGATGTTTTGCAGAGCATTTCTGATGATCCACGAACCTTCGAACTGCCGGCTAAACGCTTCGGGGACGTTGATAGCTGTCCCAAAAACGGGTTCGGTATCTGGGACAGAAAGTTCCTGATTCTGGGGATTCTGATTCACTTCAGGTATCTAAAGTCTAGAGCTTCGGGACTTGTCGAGGATTCAGGAACAGGTATGTAAGTCTTCGATCCCTGCACACAGGCAACCCGGCCTTTTCCGCCCGCCGCCCCGGGCGAAGGAGATCTGCGTGGAAGGATTTTCGGGCGCATGGTTCGAGTTGATTTTGAGATTCAGCGCTAGGGGCAGATGTTATTGGGCTTCGGATTTGCGCATGCGCGGGCTATGCTGCAGCCGAAAGACTCGGATCAACCCAGATAGTTTCGATCTAGGTTTATAGCAGGCTTCTAATCTGTAAAATCATACGTTGTGCTCAGACGATTGGAGACACAAGTTCAATCAAATGCTCTATAAATGATAGCTGAGTGCTCTACACTTCTTACCCTCCTCATCAGCTAGCCAGGCGAGCCTCTTGGATGGGGCAAAATTCTAGACTTGAGAAACCAGGATTTCAAAAAGAAGCATATCATATCACTGCAGCTCTAACCTTCCCAGGGAGACCAACGCTAGCTAATCATGTCTTCCGCAAGACACTGACTGATGGACAGGAAGGGTGCGAAAGGCTAAAGTTCAACACGACTGCCCACAAGCCAAACCTGGAGCCAGCCCCAGAAGCCTGGAGAGCGAACTCTTTTTGATTGGACATCCCTGTGGGGTGTCCTGCTGCAAGCGATGAAAGAACTGCCAATCTAAAGCTGAACGCCAGACACTCGTCATAAAGACTCTACCCCAAAGATCATCGCTGCAGCACTACAGACCACCGCCAAAGCGCCTGGCCAGGGAGCTGAACCATGAAGCGAGTTCAATTCTGTTCCCATTGTTGGATGTTCGGTGAGTTCTCAACGTGGACCACACGGATCACTGTGACGATCATCACGAGCAGCATGACAACCGTCCTGCTCAGAACCGCCGCCATCAACAAAGCAGCATCGGCATGGGTGTCGGCGTCGGCATCAACATCATCGACGCCATCATCATCATCCTCCTCATCATCACCATCATCAACAGCATAGTCATGATCAACACGAACATCGTTACAGCGATTAAAGCCACCACCATCCTCATCACCACCGTCATCATAAACATCATGGTCCTCATGATCATATTAGCATCGCGAATTCATCATCACCATCATCATCATCGTCACCACCGCAAACGTTACATTCGGGCAGGATGGTTACCGCCACCGAACTTAGGCATCATCACCATCATCTTTTTCTGCGGACATTCGCACAGGCACTCTGTCGTTCACTCCGAGGAAGATGACGAGCTCATCTCTTCTGCTATGCCCCGCCGGCCGGGCTTCTTAGCCTGTGGGATTTGTGTTTTTTGATGTTCAGGCTTGGATTGGGGAGGTCAAGGCTTGGTTTAACCTCTTGAAGTTGTGTCATGAGGACCTAGGCCTGGTTCTGAGAAACGACATGTAATTGGGTTTACGTCTGTGCCGTCTGAATCCATGGTCAATCTCTGGGGATCTCAACTTTGGAGCTGGGGCTGCTGGAATCAGTTATGTTACGTGTGGGTATCGTAGACGTCGTAAGTTTGGGAGTGCCAGACGTCTCTGTCTCACTAGATTTCGCACGACAGCCGTTGAAACGCGAACGCATCATCACAGAAATCCTGGCCGTGAGGTCCAGCTCCGCACCCGAAGAGCTTAAGACATCACGTATGAACACCACAAGCCAACATGCTGGAAGTTGTTCGGTTGGTGACCTCGGCCCAGTGGACGACCCGCTGAACCAGCGGCGAGCGCACGTATAAGCCTCGCACGGTTTGTTCACATCCATTGTGACCAGGATTTGCAAAGCTGAAATATTGGAACTGGGTCTTTCGGATAAGCAACACATACCTGAATCCGACACGACATTTGCAGAGCTGGCAGCTCTCGGTTGTGTCGGGTGGGCCGGGGATCATTCTGGGCTTACCTACTACCGGGCAGAAAGAACCATGGCAATCGAATTTCGGATATCTTTTGCAACTCGCCGAGAACGTGTTGTGCTGCGCTTCTGTCGATCATAGCAAGCATTGGTTTCTGCCGATCGTGGCTTTAAAACAGCTATATATACAACACAAGTTCGGTAGCCTCGGTCTACCCGCCAGTTGCACAAGATTGCGGAAAATGAAGCTACGTGCTCAAGATCTCGCGCACAAAGTTTGCATGCCGCAGCTTGAGTTTGCATGCGGTTCATAAACGTTGGGATTCACAGAGGCACGCAGTCGGAAATCATCATTCGTCCTTGCCTGGGTCCCTCGGATCAGGGAACATCAAGCGTCCTTCCATTCGTGAAACTACATTGACACTGAGTTTCGAGCTATTTGACCCAGCGGTGATCCGTTGGGGCTCCAACAGGTCGTAGCGGCCACCCTCACCAAAACGCTTGTCCTTGACATAACTCGTTGCACCGAAGTGCAAGTCCTCGTCCTTGTAGTTGCCCAAGGCCACAAGTCCTTGCTTCGGACCAGGGTTTCGGCTCGGCCTTTCTGCTGGGGCTGTTGTTTTTCCCCAGTTCTGCCCATGATGTCACTGTCCGCCATCCACGTCCTCGTTTCCTCGGCCTTGTAGAGCTCCTGAATCTTGGAATTCACTTCCTTGGTCCGAGAGGACATCTGGACCGCAAAATGCAGGGTCTAGCACCCTGAAGGGCCCGCTGATACCGAAGTTCAAACTGTGCGGACGCCGTCTGACGCCTCCTCTATGTCCAAGCCATCCGACAACGGAAGAGGGGAGGCAAGAACGTATACTTGAGGAGCCACAGCTTATGCCGGAAGTCTATCCTTACATTGCTCGTCCACACCGGGTACCAAATAGGAACCTCCATACTAAAGAAGGGTGCGCACAGCGAGTTGAGGACAGCACCTGAATTTGCAACTAACCACACCAACATCATCCGCTTGAACAACAATGAGCTGGTGTCAGAGCCACGAGGACGAGAATCGGAGAGCATAGGCCTCGTGGAGGTTCTATGTTTCATTCGCACAATGTGACATCGGTGACATCCTCAGATTCTGCCTATTCGAACTCCGTCCCCTGCTCATCCCCACTGTACAAGTGAACCATCCACCTCGTCTGCAAGGGACGCTTGCCGCCGGGTTGATAGGAAGGGCCTGCAGGTATTCACTGTCCATCAGCATCCTCCATAGGCAGGCACGGTTGCCCTTATTGCTGAAGTCCTCTGGCGGTCCAGCAAGGTGATCCACACACATTGTACAGGGTGCTCCCTCCTCCGTTTTCTCCTCCAACTTGCCCGGCTCGACTTGCTCCAGATTCGCGATCAACTGCAGGGCATCGGCTTCTCGAAGAACTGGAGTGGGGGGCTCACTTGGAGCCCCTTCCAGACCCCATCCGCCTGAGCCTGCAGCGAGGCCAATCCCTGGATCTTCGCCAAGAACTGCTCAACCAGCTCCCGAAAGTTGCCGGTACTTGGCATATTCTGACTGTCAGAGAACAGTACTGTAGACGAGGTAGCTGCTGTACAGCAAAACCTGCTGCCGCGGGCGGTCTGCCCAAGTGCTGACCAGGGACCCATGCATTGACATCCGGCCAGAACTCCCCCAACTGCACCTAAATTTTGATGCTGCGCCGCCTTTCGGCAATCGTCTTCGGTTCTCACACCCCAAAGGAAACCCTGCCGCAGGATCGTTTGGTTCCTGAGTCTGGCCCCCAACCTGCATCTCTCCAGCAGACTCCAGCACCCGGGTTGACGCCTGTCGTACACCTGCGCCGGAGCTACTCGTGAAGTAGCAGTTCTTGAGGTAGATCGGCTATGGCACTGCTGCTGGGAAGCTGAAGTCTGCTGCTGGGGCGTTGGTTGTGGAGGCTCGGCTGCAGGTGCGTTGCTGTTGTTGCTCCTGCCTGATCCCCAATGCCTTCACCCTGAACTGTCCAGCCAACGCAGTCGCGCCCGGTCCAGTTGACGTGTATATCCACGCTCAGTCCGGCCGCTTGCTGCAGTGGAGCTCCTTCCGGTCCGGCTCGGCTTCCAGCATCGCCCCTCAAATCAGTCTGCGCACCCAGATAGCGCTCCTCGCGTCATTCCTCCGTGAGGAAGCTGCTGATCCTCGCTGAAAAAAGGACCCACAGCTCTGACTCCCCAGACCCAAACATTCTGCAGCACCTCGGCCCTGTTCTCCAGCTCCGCCGGAATCCAGGCCACCATAACTCGGAACTGCACCTGTTGCTTACATCTGCTCCAGCCAGCATAGATTGGGCACTCACAACCTGCAGCACCTCTCGGTTGTATCGGTAGAGCCTGGGATCGGGTTGGGCCTACCTGGCAGAAAAGAACCGTAGCACTGAAATTTCGGATTGTTGTGCTGTGCAGCAGTCGATCATGACATTCGTTTCTGCCGACCCTGACATTCAATCAGCCATATAAAGAAAACAAGTGCGGTAGCTTCGCTCTGTCCGCCAGTTGTACAAGATTGCGGAGATTGAAGCTACATTTTCAAGATCTTGCATGTTGCAGCTTGAACTTGCATGCGGTTCATAAATATAAGCTTCATAAGAAGCAAGCAGTCGGAATTCATCCAAGTTGTAAGCTACCTCAAACCTTGAGTCGCAAGAGTTGAGTTGATTCAAAGTTGGCGCGCAGATAAGGTTTGTACCGATGGTGTTCTCCTGGTCGTCTGCTTCCGTGGGGGCATGATCGGGTGTGCGCCAGGTGCAATTATGCTTTCGACAGGAGGAAGCCTTTTTGATAGAAGCCGCCACTCATGACAAATTGCAAGTTTGGGGCATCTCAACTCAAGATGCTTGCTACTAACCGTGCGAAGCATTGCGAAGCTTGCTCAGAAGAGACGTCAAGCCGGAGCCACTGCCAAACACGGCATGGATGGAACAGAAGCGATGCTACGAGTGCTGCGAAAGAGTCCAGTTTTCGAGAAATAAGCGTTCGTGGAAAAAGCAAGTAAATTCAAGGACTGCCGTTCAGAACAGCTCCAACACATCAAGCCAGTTTCACCAAGATGGCCATACGTATGGCACTGCTTATCTCGCTGAAAAGACATCTGCCTTGTCAGTCTTTTCCCTTACGCCGCGTCGAAGTGAATTGCAGGCTCCTGCCGATGTGTTGATGATCTCGCCTGGATTGGTGATGAGAATGCACATAATAGCCAGGGCTGAAACTCAAGGGCGTGCACAAGCCGTTTCCATGTCGGGAAATGCGACTGGCAAGGATCATACGGGCCCAAACCACAAGGAAGACCTGGCCAGGCACATACCTGGATGCTGTGACAGGGCATGAAAAACAATGCTGGAGGAGACCATGATCGCACCAGGATTTCCCGCAGTTGGGTGTAAATGCCGTTAAATGCCAACAGGAACCACCTGCATGGTTTCTGAGCTTCCAGTCATGACTCTGGCTAAAATTCTGCGGAAGGACAGGCAGCCAACTGCTGATCGAGATCGGAGTTCCCACATACGACCGGAATGTTTGTCATCGAAAAACAACAAACAAGCTTGCACGCACAAGGAAACGAGTCACGTGCAGACCACGAAGAAGAAGGTCTGTGCCAGTGCAAAGGAATCCAACAGCGAACATTCCATGTTTGCATGCCTCGAAAAGCAAACATGTTGACTCTGAACGACGACACTGAAACTTAGCAGTCCAAGCCATACCTATCCAAGAACCTTTCCTCGAAAAGCCTGATCACTGTTAACTGAAAATGGATACCAAACGGAAACCGCATACACGACTCTTGACCTTGAATCTCAATTTGAAAGACTTTATCCCTGCCCTTGTTGAAAGGAGATCATACGCAGCCCTGTGGTTCTCAGGAAAAAGTTGCATGGTAGCGGAGCGCGCTACGCGTCTACGCGCTCCTTTGGCCTGAAGTGATAGGCCAGAGGACCCTCGGAACTCCCTTGTTTCACCGCATAATCGCCTTCGCTGCTTGTGGCTGCACTTTGCTGTGCCCACACTTGCTTCTGGAAGGCTGTAGCTACGCTACCCTCCCACAATCCTACAGATTTTTCCTTGTAAGACCCCCTGGTGCTGGGGCAAATCCGGGGTACGGTTTTGGCGGCTCATTTGGGGCCGCAGTTGGCTTTTGGAGCAGAGGCTTTGGTGTCAGTGTGTGCGAGGCAAAGCAAGGTGAGTGCAACGAAAGTTTTCTTATCAGTGCTTGCGTGGACTTTGGCCCTGGCTGGTTTCAGCTGGCTGGTGCAATGGACGCAAGCATGGATGCACAGCAGGCGTACGGAAGCTCAACAGGTGGCGGCTGCCCACCAAGCAGCACAGGCCGCAGCAGCGCAAGCGGCGACGGCCGCACAAGGAGTGCAGCCAACTGCGGCGGGAGCCGCAGACGTTGACAGGATCGTGCGGCAGAGGATGGAGCAAGCTTTTCAGGGTGTCTTTGGGACCTCCTGGAAACAACGCAGCAGGCGGCACGGCCCGCCGAGAGCCAGGCAGTGAGCCATCGCAATGATAGCCTAGTGCGGGCCCTGAAGCGTGACCCTTGGAAGCCTAGCTCGAGGGACGATGAGTTGAGGAGCTGGAAGGAATGGTGGTTTAGTTTTTCAAAATTCGTTATTGCCCCCCAAAGGCTCTCAGATTGATTTTTTCGAGCGAGATTGATTTTTTCAAGCGCCGATTGAAAACCAAAATTAATCAATCGAGGATCCATAAAAACATGGGAGTATAAAACCAATCGAGGATTCGAGCGGAGATCCTTATTAATTCAATCGAGGAATCGAATGAAGAATGGAGCCCCGGATGTTAAAAATCAATCGTACCTGTCATAGGTTTTCAAAGTTTTCGGTCTA